TTGCCCTGCAGTTCCTTTAAACTCATTCAATAATTAATTTAAATCAAATACAGAAGGTCTAGAATAACTTTAATCCCCCATGAAACCTGGTCATTTGTTACCAGTAAACTAGTGTCTGTTTGTTTATAAACATGAAGAGATAAGAAATACAAACACTAAGAGTGTAAAGAGAGATTGTGTAGAGAATATTAATTAGATATTCAGGAACTATACTCAGAGAGCGTGTGATAGGAGAAATTTAATTTTCACATAGAAGAGGAGCTTTATGAGAAACAATTGTGTAAAAGACTTGTTTCCTCAATAATACTCAAACATGTACTGATCTTGCCTATGTTCACTAATGTCTTTTTTTTCCCATAGTTTTATTGAGAAACAAATAGCAATGAGACAGTTTCAAATCAAATTGGTAGGGCAGTTTCAATAATTAACACATTGCATACATTCTTCCACTGATGCGGACATGATATCCTATTTACAAACACCATTAGAACAAAGCCCTTTATTCAATTAGAGAATGTAACTATATATCTATCCTAACCACTTTGAATACACAGATACAAAATGGACATTCATCTGTATCCCCTTTTTTTGTTAAGTTCCGTTATTTGAACATTATAGATGTGTAAACTCAGCAAAATATTCTAAAAGAGTTCAGTAGCCCATAATAGTATTGGGTCTTCCGTTTGATTGGCAATGTCAGAAATTGTTGACCTGAGTCCCCAACAGCTCAACATAACACCATGGCTTTACTTCTTATATTTTGTTTTTATACCTTTCTGCTGGATGGTTAAGACCAAGGTAAAGCAGGACCTATGCAACAAGAATTGTAGCTTTTGGGTTTGATAAGGTCAGTGAAATCCCTTCAGGATTTATCCTGAGATCCTGTACCTCAGATTGTAGAACCTTTGTCAGTGTCAGCCATGTGGATGAGTCACGGCCATTGCTTGGCCAATGTGCTCTCTGTGAAAGCCTGAGAGAATGTTTTCTCTCCATGTGACTCTCCTTAGGCACACTCTACGTCTTCGATCACTTTCCTCTTTGGCCCCGTAATCTCCTTGATCAGAAAATTTGGGACACTATCGACTTACATTATGTAACAGTACAAGTTCTCATATGTCCTGAGTCTTACTTGACCTTGGAAGGCTAGGGCCAAAATGTTGGCTTTCCTTGCAGCCCTCCTTTTTCTCTAATTTGGTCTGCAAACTTAGGGTGTTAACCATCCAGAAGACAAGCTTATCGTTATTACCATACAATTTAGGCTGTTAAGCTTAACCCCACTATCTGTCTGAATATCAAACATCTTAGGCATAACATGGAACAGGTATTTTTCATAAAGTATTGATATGTTGAACTTTAAGTCTCTACAGAATATGATAAAAACATTTAAAAATTAGAATATATTTTAAAAATAGGCATAAAGAATTATATACTTCTTATGTTTGCACATAAGTCCAAAAATCTAACCATATACAACATTGAAGCAGGACAATGTTCACTAATGTCTTATTGTTTTTTAAAATATTGTTCTCCAAGTTGGAAACCCTGAGAGCCAGTACTGGAATTGGAAATTTAAGGGGATTCCTTGATTCCACTTATGCTGACTGAGCTCTGAGGATGTGCTCCTGTGCAAGGATAGCAGAGAGAGATGCCTTCCCTGGCTCAGAGTTGCTACACAATATTTCACAATGTTGGAAATTTTCTCCAGTGGCAGGAGATGGGCGCATCGTAGGTAGTGCTGGGTATGTAAGGAAATCTCTCTAGAAAACATGATGAATAAACTGAGAGCTGGAGAGTGGCAGATTAATCAGGTTGAGAAAAGAGAGAATAATGATTTGGGGAGCTAGAGAGCCAAGGTTCTGGTGTGGTAGAGGTCCAAGGAGACATCAGAGTAGGTCCTATTTGAAGAAGTTTCATTCGTCCTTGCAAAATTGTAAATTGCAGAAATGCTTTTAGCCAAAGAAGGTTGGGAGTGGGCTGAGCTATGTCGAAATCTTATTTGCATTCCCTCAAAACTTTCTGATCCTGTGTAGAGGAAAGACTCGGGCAGTTGGTTGGGAGAGCTGAGGGAAATTAACATTGCCCCTGACTCTGCAAAGGTTGAGCCTTCTCATCCAAGGTTGGTGTTTTGCTACAAAATTAAAATAGCCAGGTGTGGTGGTGGACATCTGTAATCCCAGCACTGGGAGGCTGAGGCAGGAAGATCATTTCAAGTTCAAGACCTGCCTGAAGTACACAGTGAAACCCCGTCTCAAAAAAACAAAACCAAGGGGTGGGAGAGACAGTTCAGAAGCATAAGCACCTACCTGCCAAGCACGAGGACCAATGTTTGATCCCCAACCACACATGCCATGCATGCCGCTGTCCTGGTCCCAGATGCCCAGGTGTGTCGTCTCAGTCCCCTGGAACCAGGTGTGGTGGCGCCTGCCTGTAATCCCAGCACTTGGGAGGTTGAACCAGGAGGATCTCTGTGAGTTTGAGACCAGCCTGGGGGCTACAAAAGTGAGCACAAGGCCAGCTCAAACTGTCTCAAAACAAAAACAAAAACAAATGAAATTAAAATAGAAATAAAAACACATTTCCCATCTTATAAAGAAGTAGAATGCCAACTACAATGAACTCAAAAGATATTTTGAAGTAGTTGTTCCCTTCAAAAGATCACAAGCTTCTTAAGGGTAGGAAGTTTATGTTATTTGTCATCCTAACTTCAGGGCCAGGATACCAGAGACGCTGATTGAATGACTTAAATAAGTGAAAGAAAGTGAATTCTTTGCTGGGATTGTCATAAAGAGGACTAGGATAGAAGCCCAAGATGGGCGAGGATGACATTCAGTGGGAGAACACTTGTGTGTCATGCATAAAGCTGTAGGTTTGATCTCCAGCAACAAACACACACATGCAAGCATACACACATGCACGCAAGCATGCACACATGCCTAAGATCAAGTTACAGAAGGGTTGGCCCCTTCAGCTGTTTTATCCCCGGGTCTTTATATCTTCTTTTATGTGTACTGCTGGGTCCAGATTTCCACTTTTATGACATCAGCTATGTTCGCTTAGAGCTCATCCTGGTAACTTCATTTTATAACTCAGTTATCTCTGTAAGGACCTTGTTTCCAACCAGGTCACATTCTGAAATACTGGGCATTGGGACTTCATCACAGGAATTTAAGAGGACATGGTTCAGCTCATTACTCGCAGGGTCTACATTTGGGTAGCAGTTGGTGTTAGAAGAATTAGTTTAACAGTAGTAGCCTGGGCTAGGATCTGGCTAGTCCCCTAATGAGCCAGACCTGGGGAGTCCGGAAGTGGAGGAACTGAGCAGAAAATTCCTTTGCTAGTCTCTTCAGGACTTAACCTCAGGCTGGGTGTCGTGGTGCAGGTCTGTCCTCCCAGGTATTCCCAAGACTGAGGCAAGAGTATTTAGTTTGCGGTTGCCCTTGGCAACATAGTGACACTGTCTCAAAATTTAAAAAACTAAAAAGAGTTGAGGGGTACAGCTCAGGGCTCCTTGTGTTCAGTACTTAGTGACGTCAAACAAACAAACACAGTTATCTCACTTTCTGGAAGAGGTCCAACCAAAATAGACAGGTTTGCCAAACTTTTATGGGTTGAATTAATGTCCTCCACCAAAGACAGTTCTCATTGTTGAAGCCCCATCTTCATCCCAGTACCTCTGTGACTGTATTTATATGTAGTGTTCTTAGAAATGTGATTGAGAATAATGTCATTAGTGTGCATCCTAGTCTGTCCAATATGACCAGTGTCCTCGTGACAAGAGGGAATTTAGACATAGCCAGAGGGGACTGTATGAAGACATAGTGAGAAGAGGCCCTCTACAAGGCCAGGACAGGAGACACCAACCCTGTCGGCACCTTGTCTCAGGTTTCTACAGACTGATGAGAGAATAGACTTCCATCATTTCAGCCCCCCAGTCTGTATTCTTTCTTCCTTTCCTTTCCTTTCCTTTCCTTTCCTTTCCTTTCCTTTCCTTTCCTTTCTCTTTCTTTTTTTTTTTTTTTTTTTTTTCTCTCTTTTTAAATTTTATTTTCAGGAGTAAAAACAAAGTCAGAAACAAAGACAAAAACAGAGTAACATACAACAATACATGTTACAGATTTTCAAAACAAGTATAGCTAATTTACAGTGGTTAATATATTATGTTTTTACCATCAAATCTGTTGCTCAGATTAACAGATACAGTTATGTAAGACCAGACATATGATTGAATATTACCACCTGCTTTCAAAAAACCTTAAATTTTTGTTCTTGTATTGTTTTTAATGCCATATCAATTATTACTATACTCTCTAAAATAAATTTTACAAAAAGAAAACATGTAGAACTTCAATCCATTTTGATTTTTGTTTAGTATATGGTGAGCTATTTGGGTCTAGACTCAATATTATGCATGTGACTATCCACTTTTCCTAGCACCATTTATCAAAGAGGCTATCTTTAGCCAGGTGTGGTGGCGAACGCCTGTAATCCCAGCACTCAGGAGGCAGTGTACACAATCTTTTGTTGATTTTTTCACATTCTGTTTGACAGTATGTTGTTAAAGATATCTGCATCATTAGAGAAACTGGCCTGTAATTCTACTTCTTGCTTTTCATTGTCTGGTTTGGAGGCCAGGGTAATGCTATCTTCCAAGAATAATTTTGGAAGTACTCCTTCCTCTCCATTTCACTAATGAGTTTGAATAATATTGGTTTTAGATCTTCTCTAAAGTTCTTGTAGAACTCAGCTACCAACATACAATAGCATCAGCATTCCATAAGAGAAATAGGAGCACAGAAAGAATGGGAACAGAGCAAGACAAAACCCAGCAAGGCAAACATTAAATCCCATAGTTCCATGTCCAGCATCCAGGGCGCAAGCTCCAAAGGGCTTGACAGAGCAGGCTCCCACTCACTGCCTGCAGCCTTCCTCAGCAGTTCTACATTGCTGGCTTTTCCAATTTACTGGTTTGCCAGTCTACATTAAGCTACATGCTCACAGCTTCACATATTGCCCTCAGATGCACGCTGCTTGGCATCCCAGGCCTTCTTCTGACATCTGGATGGAAGCCCCCTGATCCTACACTCTTGCATACTGCACGCCACAATCTTCTTGTACAAAGCCATAACATTATCATCATCAAATGGTAGAAATCCACACATAAGAACATATAAGAGTATGCCCATGCTCCAAACATCAGCCTCTGATCCAAGATATGATTTGCCTTGTATTAACTCAGGTGCTGCATAAGCGAGACTCCCACAGCACGTCTGTAGAAGGTAATCCTTATTACCCTTAGGTTTTGCACAGAGACCAAAGTCAATCATCTTTACTTTATGATGTTCGTCAAATAAGAAATTCTCTGGTTTGAGGTCCCTGTGAGCATAACCCCGGCTGTGCACGTAAGCAACTGCAGCTACTATCTGGCGGAAGACGACCCGGGTCTCCTCTTCTGACAGGCGATCCTGGGAAATTATGTAGTCAAACAGCTCTCCGCCAGGACAGTACTCAAGAACTATGAATATTTTGTTGGTTGTTTCTAGCACATGGTAGAGTTGACATATGTGCTGGTGTCTCAGATTCTTCAAGGCATCAATCTCTGTTTTGACCCGAGGCAGGTCACTCCCTAGTGCATTTTTATCCATGATTTTTATAGCCACCATTTCTCCAGTGAGGATATGGCAGGCAAGTTTGACCTTTGCAAAGCCACCTGTCCCGATAGTTTCATATAATTCATAGTATTTGAGAAGCTCATCATAATCTTTCATAGTTCACCTGGAAGTTTATTGAAAACCACAGAAAGAACCTGCGAGGTGGAGGGCTAGACCGGGCGAGACGGGCAAAAGGGCAGAGCAGCCAGCAAGCCCTCTCAGCAGAGCAGCTGAAACGAGAAACTCCCACTTGGAACCTTTCCGACTCCAGAACTTCTCCTTTCTCTTTCTTTCTTTCTTTCTTTCTTTCTTTCTTTCTTTCTTTCTTTCTTTCTTTCTTTCTTTTTTCTTTCTTTCTTTCTTTCTCTTTCTTTCTTTCTTTCTTTCTTCTTTCTTTCTTTCTTTCTTTCTCTTTCTCTTTCTTTCTTTCTTTCTTTCTTTCTTTCTTTCTTTCCTTCCTTCCTTCCTTCCTTCCTTCCTTCCTCCCTTCCTTTCTTTTTCTTTCTTTCTTCTTTCTTTCATTCCTTCCTTCCTTTTCTTTCTCTCTCTTTCTCTTTCTTTCTTTTTTTTCTTTTATTTTGTACCAGGGATCAAACTCAGGATCTTGTGCTTACTAGGCAGGTACTTATGCTGCTGAGCTATCTCCCTAGCCCTCTTTTCTTCCTTGAGACAAGGTCTCACCATGTAGCGCAGGCTGCCTCAAACTTGTGGCAATCCTCCTGCCTCAGCCTGTCAAGTGCTGAGATTACAAGCATGTGCTACCACAGTTGGATGTAGTCCCAGAAAACTATACTAACCCAAATTAGCCAATACACACACCTATTAACTTACATTATATGATTGAAAGTCTCAGAACCTGAAATTAGGAGAGGAGAAGTAAGTTGTCAGAGGTGAATTAGGAGGGAAGCACAGAGGGGAGGGTCCTCACTCAAGTCTTCCTGTAGACTCTGAGATGCTCTGGAGTAGTGCCTCCTGCACTGCATGGTTGGGAGGTGCCGCTGACACAGCTAGGTGCATAGGTGCATGCAGTAATCTTGTCCCTTTAGAGCACTTTCCCATCTCTAAGGTCTACTGGTGACTACAGATTTTACAGATTTTTTTGGAGGGGCACCAGGGCATAAGCCTAGGATCTCTGCACTGCCCAAGCCACGCCCCCTTTTCTTTTTCTAAGACAGTCTCAGTTGCTAAGTTGGCCAGTCTGGGTTCCCTTCTACCTTAGCCTCTCAGAGGGCTGGATTCCAGCCCTGCCTGGCTTAGATTCTTCTCAGTTTTCACTGAAATTGTCAAACCCTTTGTTAGGAGTGGTTTTTGTTTTTGTTTTTGTTTTTGTTTTTTGTGGTGCTGGGGATTGAACTCAAGAGTGTTAAGACCATGCCAACATTTCAGAGCCCAGGGGAACATTTTTGCCTTTGCTATTCTCACAAGGGTCACAGGAGTCATTGTACTACTGTTAAAGTTGACCTTAAATAAAGGGAAAGACAATTGGAAGAAATAACAAATCATCAAATCATGAAGAATTTGGGGGACTATGTCCTCAGTGACTAGAGCAGAATGCACTCCTATTGATTTTCTGTTTCTTTACTCAGGAGAACATCTACAAATTTGTAGGTGGATTACACAGACCTTGCCCTCCCGTCCAGGTCTTTAGCTAACATTAGGGGCTTAAGACCTTGGAAGGCTGATAATGAAAAACATGTTAAGTGTCTGCTTTAAAAAAAATGTAATGAGCAGGGTATTGATCCATGGGAGAGCTCAGGCCTAGCATGTGCAAGGCCCTGCTCTCTGTCCTGGTACCACAGGGAAAAACAGAAAGGCAATAAATAGGGTTTCAGGATATGGTGAGGCTCAGGGAACATTGAGCTTTTCTTGAAAATAAAGCTGCCTACATCACAAACACACAAGCATTATTCTGGCTTTTATACTTTATTCCTCAGCTGCTGAATTTACATCTCCCCTCAGTCAGTGTCCCTGTTGATAGCGGACACACCTACTGGGAAACAACAGATGTCCTTGGACGTGACAGCCACTGTGCACTGCCACCGTCCCTGACTGGCTGTGTCTGCCTCCTGTGGACATCCTTGTGGCCACTTGGAAATATTTAAGACTTCGTGGGGAAGAGGCAAATGGAGTTTCCATTCCTGGAAGGGTTAAGTTGTGAATCAGTCTACAGCAAATGGCACACCCAGTTTGAGGTCCACGATGGTGAAGTCATTTATCTGTGAGTCATACCACTGAATACACTCTGTTCTATAGAATGTTGGCTGGCAACTCACTCCCAAACATTGCGTTCCAATGGCTCTATTCTACCTCACCTTTGAAAGTGAAGTATGTTATTCCTTTTGACTTAACAGTAGGCAATGAGACAGCTTTGGGTTTTTAACCAGTAGGCTTTGACTCTGCAAATAAATGCTGTATTTCCTTCATGATTCCATTTTCATACCAAGTAAGGAAAGCCAGAGAACAACTTTGGGGGCTCCTGGGTAAAGGGCAAGAAGGTGACACTGTCTGACAGGCTTTTAGGATAGGGAAAAAAAGAAAAGGAAACCCAACCCAAAGGTCCTCCTGTTTTATTATGTTGTGGCTTTTCCAGAGGTTCTGACTATGTGATTAAATGCTGAGAAATTGGCAGGACTTCATACTGATTGGTATTTTAAACCAGAAACTTAGAATCCAGTGATTCTAACCACAGGTCCTATTAAAAGAACCGTGTGTTTGCAGATCAAGAGGAATGAGCCTGCAAGAGGGTGGGGCTGTGTGCCTACGGCTGGAGGAACCGAGTCATGAGTCCCTGTTTTGTTGCTAGGTGACAGGTTTTATGTGACAACAGTTGCTTTCCTCTAAAGAACTAATATGCGCTTTTTGTTTAATAAAGGCAGTGCATTTTTCTTGGTATAAGGAGTACACAAAGAGTTTACACAAATGTGGGGTATTATAGTAAACAGTGCTTATGAAAAGAAATGCTTTTGTCAAATGTTTTGGGTTGTTTTCCACTGCTACCTCTAGAAATCATTTGCCTAGGGAGACGGGCAGTTTCTTGTCTCTTCTCAGATGATTTCCGTTGTTTGGCTTGTCTGGCTGTGGTGTGCATGTGACTGAGATTTTCTCCGAGCCTCTAAATTGCCCCCATTGAGAGCAAATGTGCTTTGAGCTTCTCAACAGAGAAACTGTTTACATCTGGAGATGTTATGGGATTGGATTTTATCATTTCTAACTAGTTAGCAATCTTGATGTAAGTATATTACAGCATCAACTATATGTCCTTTTCTTTTTCTTTCATTCTTTTTAAAAATTTTTTAAAAAACTTTTTGAGACAAGGTTTCGCTATGCAGGTCAGGCTGGCCTTGGGCTCACATTGTAGTCCAGATTGGTCTTCTATTCATAATGATCCTCCTGCCTCAGCCTTCCCTTCCCAGTGCTGGGATTACAGGTGGGAGCTACCATGCCCAGTACTGTATATCTTCTTTTGATTTTATCATGATATAAAACATCATATACGATTGATAGTTTCTTAGAAATGATTGTTGAATAGATGGACGAATGGACACACAAATGATTATTTAGTGTTACACTTTCCTATTACATGGATTTTATATAGATTCAAGAGAGGCTTTGAAAATAGTGAAGTAATGAATGGCATTATACGTACCATAAAAAGAAACATTTAAACACATAGCTCTTGCTACCATGCTAGAACTTCTCTGAAAATGGATCCCTAGCCATAGAGAAGGAAGTGAGGGGTTGCTGGTCTTCTCCTCTTGATAATGTAGGGAAATCTTTGAGTGAACTTTGTCTCCTGGGTTTCAGAGGATTAAAATGTGCCCCCTAACTCATTGCTGCCATAGTCTAGGACACTGATGGATGTTCCCAAAAAATATAAATGTGTAATGATTAATTAATAGTGACAATGGGTGTCACATTATGTCAGTTACTGATTTCAGCTCCTCCCATGAAGGAGTCCCATTGCTCCTCACAACTGCCACAGGATGTGGGTGCCTCTGTTGTACAAGTGACAGAAGAGGAACAAGGCAGACAAGTTGAGCCACCTGCTGAAGGACTCTGTATCTAGTTTGTCTTGGGACTAAGTTTAGCACCTAGACAGGCTACCTACAGCATTCACACTATTACCTTTTATCACCTTCTAGGATCACACCTCTCAAATCCAGAAAGCAAAGGAAGTCCTAACTCTGGAGTGGTTGCCTGGCTGCTGCCCTTCATAGCTGAACTCTCCCTTGAACTTGCGCTGACTGAACCCAAGGCTCAAGAGTACTGCCCGTGGGAGTGAGTGAGGGCAAGAGTCCAGCTCAGCTGCAGGACTCCCTGAGGGGACCCACTCCTGACAGAGGGAATATTCTGATGCTCAGGCCCTGCCAAGGTCCTGTGAGGGAGTGAGAGGCCTGGCAGGTATTACAACACTTCTACCCCACACCACGCAAATGCTCACCACACACAACACGTACACTACATGCTTTCCCGTAGCAGGTGTGCCTTCCTTCAACTCTCCTTTATCACCAAGCCCTTCTGGAGGGAGGGCTCCTACCTGCATTCCAAAGATGCACAAATCACTCCCCTGCCTTGGAAGGAGAGCCTGACAGCCACAGTGAATCATAGCAACTGCCAAAGGCAGCCCCTGGGCCCCGCCCTCCCCACAGGAAGTGAGAGAGAGCAAATACATAGTTTTTCTTTCAGGACTGGTGCACACATTAAGTGATTAAAAAGGAAGAGTGCTGTTTAAGAGGCACTGACAGCTCTGGAAGAGCACAATGAAGCCAGAGCCTGAGCCCGCAGGATTCCTATAAACTAGTTCATGAACAGAGCTCTGAAATTCCAGAGCCGGCTGGAGGTCTCTGCCTCTTTGATTCAGTGGGGCTTCGCTGTGGTGCACTTGGGACACCTGAGATTGGGGTCAGAGAGGCAGGCCCTGAGAAGAATTCCAGGGTTGGGCTTGGCTTATTTTAGTCTTAAGAAAAGCCAAGAGTCACTTCTTCCACGAATTGCTGAACTTCTAGCTGGGCCCCGGAAGTCCCTCCACAAAAAAGAAGGACTTGTTTATGCACCTTCAGGATACAAGGAAAGGCAAGGGGAAGGTGGAGCCTGGGAGACACTGGAGTCCCTGGGGCTATGCTGACAGTCACACTATTATCAGCCAGCTTTGGGCTTTGATTTCTGGCAAGAACCTCCAATTACCAGCTGTATTGTACCCAGAATGCCATTAGGACAGTCTCAGGGGTGGGGGTAAACCAACACTACACTTAGAGTC